TTCACCTCATTGTTCACAATCGCCAATTGGTTGGTTTTCCCCAACTCAGTTCTCCAACTTCTTCGTCTATCCACTTCGTGTAGTTTTCTTCATGGATTTTACAATGAAGGTTTTGTTTTTTGTGTTGGATTTGAAAATCCAAAGACTTATTAGAAATTTGGTGTATTATAAATTTGAAACAATCCTTTATTTGTTGAGTTGTTTTGGTCATCGATTTAAGGGTTTGAGATTTGTAACTTAAAAAAAATAATTTACCTTCTTACCCTTTTACATTATACAAGTTAGTTGGTTCGCACTTTGTAGCGGGATGTTTAAAAGAAACATATCAATAACTATCGGTTGACGGCCTCTTTAAACAATAATTACTATGTAAATCTCATTAAATTAAGAAAAATACTTTGGTCAAGTAGCGGTAGTAGCGGTTGAGAGAATTTTGTGTCCATTTGATCGTAATTTAGTAGATGTTTAGGAGAGTGACGCAAGATAAGATGCCAAGATTGAACTCGCATCATCAATATGGCACTCCATATCACAATTCTTTCAAATTGGATACTATCATCTAAAATTATATAAACTAGATTAGGGCCCGGCCTCTTGGCCGGGAGAATTTGATTTTCATGTATATGTGTAGTAAACATTGATGTATATTCTTTTTTTATGGTTCATGTTGTTGGGATTGAAGTAACTATTTAATTTCTCTATGAATATTATAGAAAAGTATTTAATGTATTTGACTAATGAAGTTTAAAAAATGACAAACAACATATTTGCAAACAAAAATACATATTTGCAAACAAAGTCATATCTATATAAAAATGTATAAGAAGAACAATGATAAGAGTTGTTTTACATCATACATGCATAATCAATCTTCAGTATACGCTATTTTTTTTTTTGCATTTTTCATTGACTTTAGTGTTTTTAATGATATAAGAAACAATGTATATATTTAGAGTGTCTTTAAAAAGAAGCAAACTAACTCACATAGTCATGGTTTCATTGACTTTAGTGTATTCAATGATATAATGAAACAAAGCATGCAGATCTCTAGCTGGCAAGTTCAACTAATAGAGCAACACATAAAAAGCTAAATCAAACCGAAAAGAAGGCAAAAACTAAAAGCAGCATACCTAACATTTTGGGGGAAATCCACAACAATTAAAGTCATTGTAGCTCTTACGTACTCAAGTTAGAAAGACTTTGATTTAATGGCAAGTAAACAATGATATGTAGTGCTTAAGAGGGAAGATGAGACCTTACATTGTTTATTAATATGCATCATAGTTTCATAAATTTTACATCATTAAAAATTTATGTGTTGAATAGAAACCCATCCAAGTTTGGAGCCATTGTAAAATGTAAGTTATGAGGCAAATGAGAAGTCTCAAGCATCCACATGCTTGAAAAAATAAATCTATATTATCAAACATAAAATCATATCTTGCATCAGAAAAAGAACAAAAAAGTAGTAATTCGATAATCAATATAAGAATGAATATGGACACAATATCTAACTAAGAGAAGAGAAAGCGAAAAACATAAATTGTTGTGTATAGCTTCTGCTCACGATATTCAAAGTGAAAAATATTATAAAGATTATTAACCAATAAAAGGGAACGGTAAAGGGGAAATGCATCAATTTAAACCTAAAATGAGGAATTAATATCCTACACCATCATATATAATGATATATTATATCCAGGAACATCATAAAAAAATCTATCTAAACGAAAAAGTATACTAAATTGAATCCAATATAAAAGTAACAATGAAGATAGATATTATATCCACCTAAGAAATAATAAAGTAAGCCATGTTTCTTAGAGACGTCTCTCGATAGAACCACTCTATTATAAAACCCATTTTGTTAAACAGTATCATATAGAGTTTTAACTTAAATTTGAAGTGCTTATAATTAGCTATTTCAGCTCATGAATGATTTAATTATATCATTTGGTAAAAGAAATAATTTATAAACTTGAGAGTTATTTCGTTTGTTGTTAAATCATTTGAAACTAAAGTATGAAAGTGCTTCATAACTGTTATTTTATTCATTATTATTAAAAAGTGCTATTTTTATTATAATGTCTATGCATGTCAAGGCGAGCTAGGAGATAGAAAAATGCCCAATGATCGCCGTACGCCTAACGTGTTGTTGAACCTCAATAATTATAGCAAACTTAGAGACCATCTTATAAATTTGATCACTTTTATTTTGGTATAATTGATTACATCATGAAAGCAATCAATCAAAGAGTCTTTCTTTACGATTTTGATAAGATGTCCCCTAGTGCACAATTAGTATGACTAAATTGTAATAAGATAATCATATATTGAATTTTGAATCGATAGTGCAAAAGATTGAACTAACTCAAGTAGGGTTTTAGCTACTCAGTACTTCATATTCGCATGCATGTAGATAGCTACTTCAAAGAGTTCGAATATTGATTGAGTTTGTTGAACTTTACCTAACGAAACTATGATATCAATCGCAAGATATGATGCTTTTTGGTAGACCTGGCAAATGAGGACCCGACCCGTTGACCCGACCCGACCCCTCCCGAAAATAGAGAATGGGTTGATGTTTTTATAACCCGAATGACCCGAATCAGATTAACCCGTGGTTTTTGGGTCGGTTGGGCTGGTTTGTGGGTCGACCCGCTAGACACGTTTCATTAAATATGTCACTCTAAAAAATGATAAAATCACTCATACTTTGGTGAGATGTTTAAAAAAATTTAGTAGGATTTGAAAGACAAGTTTGGAGTGTAAAGATAATCAAACATCATTTGTTTATTATAGTAGTATTACTTTCGTCATTGTTTTTTGACAATTTGTGCAATTTGTATTTCTTTTCGTTAGCATGGAAGGAGTTGAGCATTTGTTAATTGACATGTGCTAGGCAAACTATTGTCACACATATGTAAAAATTTGTGTGTTTTAAAAAATTTATGAAGCATGTTCGATATTGATTCTGAGAACGCTCATGACCGACCCTAAATGACCCGAAACTCAATGGGTTGGGTCAATATTTGAACCAAAATCAGCAAACCCATCATGACCTGACCCGTGAAGACCCGTAACCCGAGATTCCCAACATGAAATTACCCAACCCGACCCGATTGTCATGTCTACTTTTTGGAGAAATTGGGAGAATATGTTGGTGACATCAAATCTAACATGGATACAGTTGAATTTAAGTGATAAGCAACATTTATGGTCAATAGATTATACATGAAAAATATATTTAGCATTCCCATAAGTTGGTGTGAAGTAGTGAATAATTAGAAATTGAAAGCTAGAAACAAAGTTGATTTAATAAATAACTGAAACTGATATTGTGAAAAAGAAAACAAATGCCTTGAGCATAGCTAGGGATGAGAGTGTTACATTAAACTCTCAAAGAGAAAGCAAGTAACCATTAATAGTTAGATATGGATATTGAAATAGTTAACTATGATGAATACTATATACTGGTGATTAATACTTGGTCCTTAGCTTGAACATTGCATCATGCTGATAAAATTATTTCATTAATTACATTATTGAAATAAGGGGTCGTATGGAAGTTTTGATTGTTTTCTTAGATTTTTAAAATAAATACATTTTTCATAATACAATACACATGTTTTTATTTTTATTCATACACAATCGTGAATTATTTGCTTGATTTGACTAAACTATCACTCAAATTGAATGATTAAACAATTTTGAATTTTAGTATAGACTGTCAAGATAATTGGTATCGGTGTTTGTCATGTTTACTTTTCTTGAAATGTATGGTACCAGTGTTCTTATGTCGTCATTGAACACTTCAATTCAATGCGCAACATTCCAACCAATGATATTTGTGTTAAGATTTTAAGAATCTCCTTCATTTATAAGTTAGAAAAAATCTAAATTAATTATTAAAATATGAAAATAGAATTATCAAACACCGCAAAATACTTATAGGAGACTTACCAGGCTAACTAACCGTGATAGAAAAGTACTCTGTTTTTCATAATTTTTACTTCCTCAGTGTTTTGTATTAATTAAGTACAACAAATGTGTCTAGTCTAATTGGTTGTAATTCTTGTATTTAATGGAAGAGACCACGGTTCAAATCCTAGCATTGAAATAAAAAAAATTTATTGTGTAGATGAAAATACCCTTCCTACTTTCACTCTCGTTGCAAGAAATTTGAAATGGAGCAAATCAAACTCTTTAAAATGTATTATAATAAGTAGTCTAGATCTAGATTCTTACGATGTCACGTCTAAATAAAATTCTACATTGCATGATTACGTGATTTTCCAACGATACAAGCTTGATGAGTTTTATTACGAGAAGGAAGAGGTGCTCCGTATTTGCGGGGAAACAAAATCGACAATAGGAAAATATAATAGAAAGAGAACAAACTTGGAATTATAAAAGTTAATAGTCATTTTACAACATGATTTTTAAACCATTAGCCAAATCCCAAGCTATCATATGGGATTTGGAGCCAAAATAGAACTCAAATTCGTGGTCCCCACAGATTTGTCTTCAAATTTTTTGGCCAAGCAAACAAACGATTGTGACCAAATCCTTGAAAACCTGTTTGGATAGGCAAAAAACTCAAGAATTGAAATTCCATTTCCAATTTTAATTACATATTTTATGGGGTAAATTGCAAGGTTGGTCAGGGTGATTACTAAAAACGTTCACGTCTGGTCACTGGAAATACTTAATTCCATTTGTAGTCATTGAGATTACTAAAACCGTCCAAGTTTGATCACTCTCTGTTAACTTCCGTTAGTCTCGGTTAACGGCGTCAGTTTTTCGCTGACGTGGCTAACAGAAATGCCTAGTAAGCATATATTGACCCACCACGTCATTAAAACAAGCCACATAAGAATAATCCACCCAACCCATGACCAAACCCTTCTTGACCACCCCAACCTATAAATATATCTACTATGTTCTCTCTCCACCCCAACACCCCTCCTCTGCTCGTCGTTGTCCTTCCATCTCGGAGCTTAATCGCCAAGCAGATTGACAAAATTCAGGGTCCCAGAGTTTAATCGTTGCACTTCCCTTGCCGTCTTCCTGGGCATGTCGTTTATGAACGCGTAGGCATTTGAGTACTCCTTTATGTCCGAAGGAGTCGCCGCCATCGCTTTGGCGTTCCTCACGTACGTCCTCGTTGGCGCGTTTGCTGCAGAAGAGTGAAGACGAGGACTTGCTACGGTGCCGGTGACGTTCGCATCTGACTCCTCTCCCATGGTGTCTATCATGTGTTATAGGGTCTGGAGGAGTGCGTAGTCGAATCCCACGAATCGGAGATCCATCGCTTCTTTTTATTCTAAGATTGCTGCTAAGATTTGTTGCTTTGTCTGATCTAAAATTCCTTGATTATGTGGAATGGATAGACATGGATAGTGGTTTATATAGAGATGAGAAGAGGATGTTTGGCAAATCTTTGGGAATTTCTAAATAGAAAATTGAAAGAGCCCTCCTTGCCAATCTTCAAACATAGGGTGTTCGATTGGAGTTGGTAAGCATGAAGATGATGTAAGAGAGGGAGAGCAAAAGGCAAGGGCCGAGGAGGCGAAAGGGTTTCTGGGAATTTGAGGATAAGGGTTTTTTTCAATCTAATCATACAGAAGAAGAAGAAGATAAAAGGGTTGGGTTGGGTTTGGGTTTGGGTTTCTTATATGGCGGGTTTAATGACGTGGCGGGTCAGGTTTTGAGTTTTGTCGGGTTTAAAATTGGTTGACTGGATATTTCTGTTAGCCACGTCAGCGAAAACTGACACCGTTAACGGAGACTAACGGAAGTTAACGGAGAGTGACCAAACTTGAACGGATTAAGTAATCTCAGTGACCACTAATGGAATTAAATATTTGTAGTGGCCAAACCTGAACGTTTTTAGTAATCTCAGTGACCAATCTTGCAATTAAACCATATTTTATGTTTGGAATGATAAGAAGGTTGAGAAATGAATTCCATTTAGCCTAAATTTTGGGAATTACAATTTCTATAAAAAGTTGTAGAAATTGGGTTTATGAAGATGAAATTAGTGCATCCCATCATCATTTATTATTATTTTATTAATCAATTATCACTCTACTTTCTTTCTCTATCATTCCATATTTCATAGTCCATTTCCCAAGATAAAACAAACATATTATATTATTAATTATAGTTAAAAGTGCAATTCATTTCCATAGTTGTAGAAATTATACCAAACACAAAAACTGGAAATAGAATTCTATAAAAATAGAAAATGAAAATGGAATTTCATTCCCATTTCCATTTCTTCCGGAATTGTATCCAAACATGCCGTGATGGTTTTATTTTGGTACCAAATATTTTATGTAAATCCATGAAGCAAACGACCCTTAGATTCGCAATTGGACAATTTCCACTGGACAATGAACGAAATTGTAATTGGTGATGCAAATGTTGTTTAACGGATAGTATGATAATGGATTAATTGGATACCATTGCTAAGCTGAAACTAAAGCCATGTCAAAATCATTATAACTAGTTCTCATTGCCCGCGCTCCGCGCTGGGATATGTGTAACATATGACTATAGTTGTTTAATTATGCAAATAAAACCAAGAAAATATTGTATGAATACACAATCTACTGATCACGTATTCAATTAAGGCAAGTCCAACAAAAAATCAAATTTATACATTTGAATTACAGTTTTATATGAATTCTAAATGAGAAAATGCGCACGGTAAATAATATATTACAATTATCATTTGGACTCTCCAGGATCTTAGTGGGGAACATTTCAACATTTACCTCAAGAAATCACGTATATCTATTAAAGAAGTCACCATGTGGGTCACAATCCAAAAGACTTTCTAGAGAGGAGAAAATCACCAAATGCGAAATTGTTGCTAATGAAACAACTAAAAGCTTTCCTGACTTTCTTAAACTAATCAAAGAGACTTGGAAGTAGTTTTGGCAATCTACGAATCAAACATCACAGCAAAATGTTCCCACAGGCACAATCCATCTGCTGACAACAACTGCATATAAGGCAAGAGAAGGAAACAAAGTCAGAAACATAATTAGGCATAGGATAAAAGTAAACCTTTGGGGCTTCCCAAACCAAACCTTTACCTCCTGTAATTTCTACATTTAGAGGCACCACATGATATCCATCTAGAGATTCTAAAGTTGAAGAAACCATGTTGTAAACTGAATACTCATAATAATTGGAAGTTTATTAACAAAGACCGAGGAGAAAAGCAAAAGAGGGTGGATTTTTTTTATTAAGGACAAAACTTAATTCTGCAAATCACTAAACAAATTGAACTCGAAAACAATCGTTTTCCCAAAATTTCAGTGTGCGATGCTCACAAAATCACCACTTTGCATAAGGAAAATAAGTAGCCACCAAAGCTCTCGACTTCCACGACTCAGAAGTTTGAAAGCAGCTCATCAATTTTTGAAAAACCGTATCATTTGGCCCAGCAAAGGGCGAATGAAATTATCTAAATGAGATCAACAAAATAAGACACAGAATGAGAGAGAAAACAATAATAAGTAACCACAAAACTTGTTTAGAACCCATGATCACTGTAGTATTCCCCTCTATCATATACACCGTGATCGAATCAACCCCTACTATTTTCTAAGATCTAGGCCTAGTTTCAAAAAGTACAGGACAACAAAATCATTAGGATTTGGAAACAAAACATACACGGAACCTGAAACTTAGCAAAGACATCAAAGGTTCCTACTCCATTTAATCGCGGTTCCAATTTTCAACACCAGTTACTATCAAAAGAAAAATATGATCGATCAAGAGGAAAATCCAAAAAATAAAGGAGTAGAAACACAGCCATGATCATTGATATTTTGGCCCTACCGAAGCTTGCATACACCACTGCGGCAAACCCATTTCGAATCACGAATTGCCATCCAGGCAACTAATGCTTCTGGCAGCTTCTCCCTAGAAATTGACGACGACTTTCTTGTAAACTCGATTATGGCCCTCTGTTCAAAAGCTACGAAATAGATACCCAAAATGAGACAGATATGGAGAGAACAAATCAACTGAAGTCTGAGAGGAGAAATCACCTCACAACAAAACCCAGCAAATCCGGGTATCATAATCCTTTCGGAACCGCACAAAACTCGCATTTGGTTGCTCTGAGTTCCGTCGGTATCTGAAAATAGAAAGGGGAAATGCGTTAAAACCCAAATATTTGTTTATCTGAGAATTGAGAATATAAAAACAAAGCTCCAAGAACAGAATTATGATGAGGGCTAACCGAGAATCAGAGCTCATCTGAGTTGGGAAGGTTGTCGATAGATCATGAATCTCATCCGAAAAATTGATTGTCTGATCATACGAACTGCCAAGAGCCTTTATAGATGAGAATCCCTGTGAGTACAGAATAGGGGGAAAATTGGAGACCAATGTTAAAAGAATACGCAACTAAGGATCCCAGAAAAGAGAGACGAAGCAAACCATCAAATTCATCCCTTAAACTATCAGGGTTAACAATCTGGTTCCCGCCGATCGCTCTCGTCTCCCCGTCGTGCGTCCTCTCCAACGTGGATCTAAAGTCCCAATCATGGATCATTAGATTGTGGTCTTCGTGCTGGAACTCAATGGCCTCGCTAGCTGTGAACCCAGTGCAGATCCCTCCTATGAAAGGTGATAAAAAAAACCCATGTTGAGAAAGACAGAGAGATCGCACTCATCCAAGCAAAGAGAAAAATCATCAAAACGGAAAACATACCTTTCAGGTTTGGGTCTCCTCCGATCCCTCTCTCGATCTCTAAAATTCTCCTATCCGGTCGATCGCTCCCAGTTACAGATTTCCGGGAAGGGATTGTGAGAAACAAAGTAGAGAGAATTGTGAGAATGAGAGTGGAGAGAGGAAGATATAGAGATTCTAAATACACTCCCGGGTTTTATACTTCTTCTCCCTCTTGTGGGTCAATGCACTCCTGATATGATCGTTCTCTGTGTCGCTTTGTTCATCAAAAAATGAAATCAAAGGGGAAAAGAAAGCAGATGGGTAGGTTAAACGAATGTGCAAAATGAAAGCTACGTGGCTCTTAAATCTGCCACACAAATCACAAAATATCCATGCTTTCCATCACCTAAAATATGGTGGAAATCTATACCCTTTCTTACTCTCTTCTATGAGGCACAGCCTCCCAAAAACCTCATCAAAAACCCGAAGAGGCCAGGGAAAAATTAAAAACAAAAATTGGATGCTTTCTCGGTCTCCATTTGCAGCCCTTCTTTCCTCTCGCAATCTCTGCAGCAAAGTAAGAAATCAGCAACTGGTCTCCATCAGCAACCCACCGTCCTCTCCCAATCTCTGCAGCAAAGTCCCTCACCTGACGTCAAATCGCCCAGAAAGCACCAGATGCAGGAGAGACTCCCTGTGACCAACGCGAAGGGAATTGAGCTCCAATCCGCAGTAAATCTTTTTCACTCAGTGTCCTCCAATCCCATCAACCAACCCATCACTGGCCCACAATGCCTTGAAGACTCTCTAGTCTCTAAGAACAACAGAGAGAGGCAGACCAACCCCACTCAGTTTCTCTAGCTCCGCACAGTAAAGTGTCAGATGAACAGGAAATTTGAGTCTAAATGAGCAGTGAAAAGGTTTCTAGATGTACAGTGGCAGGTGTATTGAGCTATTATACTTTTAATATCATCCTAGCTTTGACTCAGCCATTAGCCGAATGAGGTTTGTTTTATCCTTTACATTGGTGACTTTATAATTATATTTAAAATATTTTGAATTTACCCATGAGTAAGTGAAGTAATTAATCTTGGAGGTGTTTTGCAACACAAGGGTATGAGAATGATTGACGTTATTTCCCTTTAGGGGTTCGGGGCTATTGACCTAAAAGTGACTCGAATTGATTGACCCAACCTAAAGGTGTCGTAATGGTCCCAAAGAAAAAACAGTGGCAAAGGTTGTTAAGTTGGACATGTAAGAGTTGTATTTCACACTTATTTTTTAAATTTGGGGTCCATCAAGTTTTTCGATAAATTTGATTGTCATGTAATCGTAAACACAATCCAACAAAATCAAACTTATAATGACCCAATTATCAATAAATTTGTCTTGTAACTTGGTGACTCGAGGATGTATAATGTTAGAGTCAAAGCTCACAAAATTCATCCGACCAATTTAAATATTTGGTCCTAAGTTTTCCACTAATCACAATCGAGACCTTATGTATGGTCCTAACCATTGGTAAGATGAATTTCATTTTGTTAATTATATTTTTATGAAAATATTTTAAATGATTTTAAAATCTTGGCAAAATACATCTATATAGCCAAAACTTTGGCGTTTGTGACAATAATAGCCATTTTTGGCGAAATACAAAAAATAGACAGAATTTTGAAAGTTTCGTGACAAATATAGCCATTTCCGTTCCAAACTTTAACAGTGTTAGAAACTCCTTCAGTTAAGTTAATGTTAGGCTCACTAAGATGCTAAATCATTGCACACGTCAGCGACAAGTCATCAATATCATTTCCACGACATTTTAATTTATAAAAATTATTTAATTTTGAAACTAAAAAAACATAAAATATTTTTGTTTCTAATTTCCACCTTATTCCCACCTTCACCCCCCTTTATTCGAAAACCCCCAATTCACAAACCCTAGCCTCGGAGAGAGCAACCCAATCTGCCGTCGCGCTCACAGTGACCAGGTGACTGCCATACCCACCCCCATCGACAACTCAGACATGATCGTCACCTCCTCCAGAGACAAATCCATCAAGGAGATTTATTTCCGGCTCTGCGAGCTCAATTGCTTTGCCGATGGTCCATACATGTTTCCATAGACGACACTCCGACATCCTCTTCTGCCTGGATGGAAATCCCTCATGCCCGATGAGCTGGGCGACGATTGCAGAGAGATCGGGCGGCAGAGAGAACTGACGAACGCACGCATCTCACCCAATCGGATTGGTCGTCTCCATCCTGGATGGGTATACTTGCACCGTCATAGGAACAGAGACTCCAGCTGCGCGGAATTGGTTGTTGTGACGCTGCGGTCCTTGGAGAGGAAGGATAAGACAGGAGAGATGCACCCGACTCGATGATTGTGCACTTAATCTGGATCCTACTGCAAATCACGTTTCTGCTGTCAATCTTGTTGTGTATCTGGAGCTCGATTACGAGTTACCGGCTTTCGGATGTTCTGGGCCGGGTTAATTTAGTCTGAGGGTAGTCGCTGAATTTGTTGTGGTTGATTCTTTGAGATTTGGTTGGAGAAGGAATTGGTAGGTTGAACAGAAAGAATTTGGGGGGTTTAGTGGTAGGGGAGTGATAGACATTTAGTACTTTTCGGTTTATGAGGATTTGATTGTTAAGAATTATTTATGTGGGTTTGCATTGGGAAGGGTTAAGTTTAATAAGTCAGGGTAGTGATAGGTAATTGTGTTTTAGTACTTAAACTATTGAGTTACGTAGAAATGATTAAGCAGAGATTACAAACCCTAAACCTACTTTGATCACTCTCTCTCCCTCTCTCTTTTCTCCTTGGCCGCCGAGCCACTCCTCTCCCATCTCCCTGCTGCCGCTCGACAACTCTCTTCTCCCCTCTCTTCCTTCGTGCAAACTACCCAAATCTCCCTCACTTCCCTTTCTCAATCCCTAGGATCAACCTCTAGTTGATCCCATCACTCAATCCCTAGTAGGGATGGCAATCAAACTCATGGCCGCGGGTACCCGACCACCCCGACCCAGTCAACGCGGAGAATCCCCGCTTTGACCGGGTATGGGGCGGGTATGGGTAAAACCCGCAAAAAGTTTGATGGGTATGGGGCGGGTATGGTTTTAGCCTCCCCCGCCCCATACCCGCCCCACCAAGAGAATTTCTTCACATATAAAAAAATATGTGGATTAAATTGTAATCTATCAATGATGATGATGATAACTCGAGAAAATAAATAGTAGAAATGCAATTGAGTAACCACCATAATCAAAACCTAATTCATTTCCCTCAATTCTCCTTCCACTCTTTCACTTTCCCCCTTGTCAACAAGATTATGTTAGTTAACTATTACTTAGTAAATGTATCAAGAGATAGAGCATAATAATTTAAAAAATATTGTAGTCTATATTATGTATTAATGGATATTTTAGGATCATATTCTTTGAATCGTATTTAGAAAATGACCGTGTTTTGTTGACTTCATGATATAATAGGTTTGTTTATGGTTATAATTAAAACTTTTCTTGTATGTTTTAGGTATAATAATGTTGGATGTACGGGAATGGGTTTTACCCATGGGTACCCGAAACCCACGGGTATGGGGATGGGTTTGCAAAACATTCTTCCGCATGGGTATGGGGCGGGTATGGGTTTGGGTATTTGAAGATGGGGATGGGGATGGTTTAGGCAAACCCGCCCTGAACCCGCCCCATTGCCATCCCTAATCCCTAGATAGAGCTCTTTTCTCGGAGTTCTATCATTTGGTATCAGAGCCCCGTTGTGGGTGCGTGAACAAGCGAAGGACGACGACCGAGATAGTGTCAACGAAGTCCATGCAGGCTGCTGAGAAGGCTGCTCGGGCCAAACAAACCGCGGAGGCTGCAGCGGGATTGCCGGAGGGTACCAAGGAGCCGGCGGCGAAGGCGCCACCGCCACCGAAGGCTGCGCAGGGGCGGCCGCCACTCCCGGCGCCGAGGGTGCAGGTGGACGGCGAGCTGGAGGACCTGACTGAGCAGGAGACGGCGCCGATCAGTCTCGGAGATCTCGTGACTATGATCGCGGAGGAACGCCAGGCAAGGGTGGAGGAGACCAGGCGGATGGAGCGCAGGCTCGATGACTTCCAGTCCATGATGGTGGCGAAGCACGACGAGTTGCGGTCGGGACTTGGGGTCGCGAATGGCGGAGAGCGGGCGCGAAAGGAGGAGACCAGGTGCGGCGGCGTTGACGGCGCCCGGCGCGACGACGATGGCGGACAACACTAAGGATCCACCGGCTGATCGGGAACGACCGAACCATGGGCCACTAGGTCGAGGTGGTGGGCTTGGTGGACCTGGGCTTCTGCCAACACCAAGAGAGACGACCCAAGAAATGGCAGCCCGCAAGGGTAAGGCCAAGGTGACAGGCTACGGTAGTGGGCCCTATGGCTCGGAGAGTCGGTCCGACCCAGTGGGGCAGTTCAACGAACCGCATGGGCTGGGCTGGCTCAACATGGATCAGGAGCAGTTCGAGGAGGGACTCCGATTGGCGGGCCAGGCTGCGACATGGGCTGATCCGCCCTAGAGGGAGTCTATGTGGGCCCGTACCACAATGCAGGCCTGGTTGCACGAGTCGGGCCCCATCAAGGGGAGCGGGTCGGGCTAGGCGGAGCAGGGCAGGGCCGCGGGAGCAGGCTGGCAGGGCGAATTCCGCAGGGCTCGACCGAACCGCAAGGGGTCGGACCAGGCCGAGCTGCTGGGTGGGCTGGATCGGCTCAGGGCGAACCAGTTGCGATGGACCGGTCCGGTTCATGCCTGGTTGGGCCGATTCGGGTCGTGTCGGTCGAGGATCTAACCGGTTCGATCCACCACACGCGGGGCCAGGTAACATGGGCCCAAACTGCTGGCAGGGTTCGTATGGGCCGGGAGGAGCGACGGGGCCACCAATTTCAGGGGGCCTCGAGTAGCTTTGGACATGGAAGGGGCTCCCAGTTCTATCAGAATCACCCAGGCGGAAACCCCGGCTATGACAGGTGTGGGTCGTACCACCCTGCTTATGATGGAGCTGATGGTATGGTTTTCCGAGCCAGGCGGAAAACCCCGGCTATGACAGGTGTGGGTCGTACCTGTAGGTGTCAATACATAACCCGACCCGATTAACCCGCCCGATCAACCCGACCCGCAACCCGACCGCAACCCGAATTGACTAAAAGTCAACAACCTGTAACCCGCCCGACCAGCAACCCGACTGACCCGCAACCCGATTAACCCGAACCTGATTGACCCGAACCTGACTAACCCGTAACCCGACCGACTCAACCCGAATTTCATCTAATCCACTTGAATAATTATAAAATTATTCAATACATAGTTTTTCAAAATAAAGTTTTTCATTCTAAACTTAAGTAAAATTATTTTTTCGTTTCGTATAGGAAATTTAAAAAATATGAAACTCACTTGATATTACGTATTTTAAGAAAATTACAAAAATTGAAACATGAAGGTCACTTGAGATCATGAAAATATTAATATAATATATAAATTAAAATTTTGGTTAATTTAACTATTCAATAAAATTATCAATTAAATATAAATAAAGTAAAGTAATGTATTTGGTAATTTGATATTTTTAAATGAAGAGGGAAATTTTGGTGTATTCAAGTTTTTGGGAAGAGAAAGAAGAGGAAAATTTGGTTCTTTGAATTTTTTAGAAAAGAAACAAGTGGGAATTTTGGTGGTTTTGATATGTGGGAAGAGAAAGAAGTGGGAAAGTTTGATTCTTTTGATTATGAAAGAGAAATAAGGAGGGAAACTTTTGAGTTTTCAACTTTTTGTGGAAGGAAAGAAGAGGATAATTTGGTTCTTTCAATTTTATGGAAGAGAAAGAGAAGGGAAAATTGAGTTTTCTAATGTATGGAAGTAGAAAGAAGGAGAGAAATTTTAGTATTTTTGTGAAAAGAAAGAAGGAAACAAATTTGGTGTTTTCAATATTTTGGTGTTTTCATAATTTTAGCTTTTGAAATATGAATCTTTAACTTTTATATGGAGGGCTTGACTAGTTAAAATTATTCTTATATGCTTTGAAGGCTAATATATACATATGTATGTAATTGTTTATGGGCTAATAAATAAATTAACCATTAGTTACAACAATTTATACTAAACTTGATAAGTAATCTTTGACGGTTCATTGTTTAGGATATAAAGGGCTAAATTACACATTTGGTCACTCGAATTACATAAACATTTCACGTTTGCCACCCAAATTAATTTTCTTTCAATTTAACCACTCACTTTACGAATCGTTTCACCGTTGGTCACCCTCCGTCAGTCTCCGTCAGACTCCGTTAACGCCGTCAGATTTTTGATGACGTGGCAAACGGAAGTGCTGACTGGGCTAACAGAGAGGCTAAAAAATACGGGTTTGACTGCCTAGTCAGCCACATACCCGACCCAGCAACTTAATTGACCCCTTTTTTTGTATTTTATTTTTCTTTTCTTTTAAAACCCCAATGCGCAGGCCACATTTCACTCCCACCTGAATCCTCGGCCACCACACACACTCCACAAATTGAACCCAAACAAAAGAAAACCAGAGAGAGGCGAAGAAAGAGAGAAGAAGATCGAAGAAAAAAGAATTCAGAAGAAATGGGAAGAAGAAGCAGCAGCAGCTTTCGGCGGAGCGGAATCCTCCTGATCTGCGCAATCCTGGCGGCGCACCTCGCCATATCCACATCGAAGGCCATTGACTTCCTCCCGGCCCTCAACTCCCCCGTCGCCGGATGCAACGGATCCATCACCACAGTGGAGGCGCTCGATCGGGAGGCGGCGCACCAGCCACGACGACGATTTGCGGCGCTCCGTCGCAGAGTTGCTCCGAACTGGGAATGAAATCCAAACCCCACAATGTTAAGAGATCGTTCAATAACCCCAGTATCAAACAGATCAATTTGCATCTGAAACATAAGGATTCTCAAGCGGATGCATGACAAACCCCAAACACAGATAAACATGTACCCCAACAATTTGAACGGCGAGAAGAAACAGACCCACACATACAAGCCCATTGAAAACCCTAAAACGAACGATATCACATACATTCGCAATTCTTGGTGGCTACTCCATGGGCGTATAATTTGAGCACATCAGCAATAAAAATTTCCCCCAGCAGATCCAAGATCGAATCGCAGTCCATGAAGGTTAGCCTACCCTTCCTACCCCTATCATCAGCGGTCCTTTTCAACCGGATACCGCACAGTAACTTTACAACAACGCCATTTCCGAAGCTAGTGGATCCATCTGAATCCCAGCATTTAGATTGACGGAGCGCCGCCAATCGTCGTCGTGGCTATGTAGATTGACGGAGCGCCGCCAATCGTCGTTGTGGCTATGTAGGCTGACTCCGACTCCATCGCGAACTCCTCGCCGTCGCCGTTGTCGTCTCCAACACTGCCCGCCGCCATACACTCGGCGATGGATCCGTTGCATCCGGCGACGGGGGAGTTGAGGGCCGGGAGGAAGTCGATGGCCTTCGATGTGGATATGGCGAGGTGCGCCGCCAGGATTGCGCAGATCAGGAGGATTCCGCTCCGCCGAAAGCTGCTGCTGCTGCTGCTTCTTCTTCCCATTTCTTCTGAATTCTTTTTTCTTCGATCTTCTTCTCTCTTTCTTCGCCTCTCTCTGGTTTTCTGTTGTTTGGGTTCAATTTGTGGAGTGTGTGTGGTGGCCGAGGATTCAGGAGGGAGTGAAATGTGGCATGCGCGTTGGGGTTTTAAAAGAAAAGAAAAATAAAATACAAAAAAAGGGGTCAATTAAGTTGCTGGGTCGGGTATGTGGCTGACTAGGCAGTCAAACCCGTATTTTTTAGCCTCTCTGTTAGCCCAGGCAGCACTTCCGTTTGCCACGTCATAAAAAATCTGACGGCGTTAACGGAGTCTGACGGAGACTGACGGAGGGTGACCAACGGTGAAACGATTCGTAAAGTGAGTGGTTAAATTGAAAGAAAATTAATTTGGGTGGCAAACGTGAAATGTTTATGTAATTCGAGTGACCAAATGTGTAATTTAGCCGGATATAAAGTATATGGTTAGGGTATAGGGTATAGGGTATAAGGTACATATGGTTTAGCGTGTATATGGTTAGGGTATAAGATATTGATGGTTTTGACGGTTCCAAGTTTTTTATTAACATATGTTCACTTGAAGTCATTTGAAGTCTTTAACGGAAAGAGATCCCTTTTTAATTTATGTTTATGGTACGTGGTTAGGATACAAGGTATGTGGTGTAAAGTATAGGATATATGGTTAGGGTATAACAATTAGCAAATATAACTTTTTATCTATGTTTTGAAAATCAAAGTATGAATTTCACTTTTAAATTAACTATACTAGCAAAATCACAACTCAAAGACATATGGTTAGGGTATAGGTTATGTGGTTAGTGTATAATGTATTGATAGTTTAGGCCTTTAGGGTATACAATCAACAACATATACTAACTTAATATTGTTGATTGAGGGTAAGACTAAGTGTATAGGATATATGCTATTGAGTAAGTTATGATTGAAGTAACAAACCAATCTCACTAAATTTGATAGCTAATCTTTAATGGTTCAATTTTTAGGATAATTCGAACAATTTTACAAATAACTCGTTTGACAACAGTTTACTGAAGTTATTTGGGCAATGAGTTATTTCGAAATAACTCCTTTTATCACTATGCTTTTGCCAAATACCACACGTCAAATACCAGATTTGCATGATTATACTAAACGAGATACTTTAATCCAATTACTACTGAATTAATACAAAAATATCAAATAAACAATTAATGGTGTCCTTTGGTTGCAAATATTGATATCACCATTACTATTAGCTATAATACTTTACCAATTATGATTAATTACATAACAAGTTTGCAAGTCATAAAAATTGATTGAACATTTTGACTAGTTTTTTTCAAAAAAATAAAGTATATATATACGAGGTAGAAAAAAATTGGTTAAAAAGTTGAGAAAATATTTTAAATTAGTGTAATAAAATGTGTAAGTTGGTAATGAGTAATGAGTTAAGTTACTTGATGCGCTGGCCCGAACAACCCGAAACCCGATCCGCCCGGAACCCGCCCGACCCAAAACCCGATGAACCCGCAACCCGATTTGCCCGCAACCCGATTGAACCCGAACCCGATGAACCCGCAACCTGACTAACCCGCAACCCGTTTGAACCCGAACCCGATTGAACCCAGCCCGAACCCGCCCGAACCCTCCCGATTGACACCTCGTACCACCCTGCTTATGATGGAGCTGATGGTATGGTTTTCCGAGCCAAACCCCCTACCATTGAATTTCCGAAATTCAATGGCTAGGAGGATGCCGGACTATGGTTGTATGCAGCTGAGCGGTGGTTTCGAAACCACCCAATTCCGGAAGAACGAAAGGCGCATATGGCGTCTTTCTATTTGGAAGGGGAGGCATTGCAGTGGTGGGAATGGATGGAGAGGTCTTATGCGGCAGCGGAGACATTGATCACATGGCCGATGTTCCAGGAAGAGCTCCGCTACCAGTTCGGTAAGGCCGAAGGATGAGCACCAGAACAGCTGGCCAAGCTGAAGCAGACGGGATCAGAGGCAGATTACCGCGCAGAGTTCTTCAAGCTGGGCAATCAATGCCGCGGGGTGCCCCAGGTGACTCACTCCTACTGTCACTCTAGAAAATGGCCAAGTGCAACCACTTCCTAAAGCGTAGTATAGCGGGTTTGGGTTTTATTGTCAACCCGGGTCCTAGATGTGATGACTACTCGGTGAATTCTTGTTATTTAGCGGTGAACTTTTAGTGCAACTCAAGCAAACAAAACACAAAGCAAGTAAACGGTTGTTGTCAAGTCAAGAGAGGTCACGCGGATATGGTTCCCCCTAGACTGCAGTTAAGTCGGATTGCAATCTACCAAGTTCAGTTTTCATGAAAGTTATACTGCGGAAGGTTCTCAAACAGTCTGAAGTCTCGACTAAAGGTCTTCAGACCCTCTCAATCTGAGTCTCTAGCTGGCGACTAACCTACACCGGAGTAAACAGATTGAGGCCCTAAGAACAAAACCTCCACTACCGGATTGAATTCGGTACAGAATAGTGAATTGGCTCCTCGACTAAAGTCACCAATTCACTACCTTCGATTAAGGATACTCTATCAACCTAGGCAGATATTATCATTCTATGTTAAAGCAGAAACAACAGGAATTTGATCAGGATTCAAGTCATTCAATCATTCAAACCTCAATCGAATATAATCAAATCATAGAATCAATACTTGGGTTCATACAATCAAACCTAACATACAGATCTAGGGTTTCCCACACCCAGATGAATGGGGGAACTACTCCATGGAGAAAGAAGCAAAAGCAGAATCAGACGCGGAAATCATACTGTGAAGTTGGATTTCTGCTCCTGGACGTTTAATCGCACTTCTCCAAGCTCAAACCGGGCTCCAATGGTGTTGAAGATCGATCTATGGCGCTTGGGAACTCTGGTTCGTCGCTTTCTCTCTCTAGGAATCGAACTCTCTCTCAAAAACTCGGAACCCCCCGAAAATTGGCCTTCTTTCTCTTTTATCAGCTGCCCTCGCGATACCCGGTCGAAATACCCGGTCGGGTATTTTTGGGTTCGACCGGGTATTCATAAAATGCGCCGTTCCGCTAAGGGGTAAAATCCCCGGTCTGTCCTCATAATCCCCGACCGGGGATTTAAGGCCATCGTCCGGGCCCCCTTCTGCTTCTCACGGGTGCCCGAAGGGAAAAATACCCGGTCAAGGCCAGAATATACCCGGTCGGGTATTTCTTCCTTTGGCCGTGTATTCTGGTCCAGCAGCCTCCTTTTTCCCAACTTCGCTCCTTTCGACCCGGAACTCGTTCCTTCGCCTCGATTCCAACGCCGGGACCTGAAATATGACATAACCACACAACCTAGCGTGAAATCGGCTTAAAACACGAGATTCCTCATCACAAACGGCTTCAGAATAGGGGTGAAAACATGTATAATTATCGGTCTATCAAACTCCCCCACACTTAACCGTTTGCTTGTCCCCAAGCAAACCTAACTCAAACCAATGCAGCTCTCCAGACCTCTATAGCAACAAACAACCTCGATCGTAGGTAGCGGACTTCCTAGATCATTTAGCAGCTTACGAGGTCAACCGACGCCCAAGTCATCACATAGCTTCTTCGGCGAGAGCTCTAGTCTCGAGTCGGTCTCATGGCAAATAGTGAACAGAGGACAAATGAATCGTGGATAAAGAGACTCTCACAAACAAAAGATCATGCACTCACATTAACTCAAGGTGCTCCATTTTCTTTGTGAACATGGTTGGAACCCTTTTCTTTCCTCTTTTTGCTAGTTTTTCTGTTTTTCTGTTTTCTTTTTTCAAGGGTTCCAACCCGTTTTTGCAGAAAACGGGGGCTCCCACCTAGCAAAGGTTTTGCGGGAGCCCGGCTCTTACCGGCCATGCCAGGAGCAGTTGTCTCGAGCCTCGTGCGGGGGAAAGACATGTAAGGGGGCTGGAGGTAGTAGGTGGAAATTGGGAACGGATTCCAGTCTCCCCTTACACACTTTCGCCCTATTCGCACGGGAGACGTCATTTTAAAGCACATTTCGAGCACCTGTTACTTTCAAAACATGATACAAGAGTCCATGACAGGCAGAGAGTCCACAACACCACACAATTCAAGGCTCCTAAGATCACTAATTCACTCAATCAACCAACACACTATGAAGAAGAAATGAGACTCCTTAAATGCATCAACATCCTCCATAGTGCTACACTACCTCCCTAGGTTGCAAATCACTACAGAGACTGTCAATTCAAAGCATACTGAGCAGGCAATTGCAAGGAACACGTACTTGGAGCCCTCAAATTTAAAAATTTGGACAGTGGACTAGGCTCCAAGCACACAAACAGATCTAATGCAGTCAAAAGATAAACATCCCCCCCACACTTAAGATCGACATTGCCCTCAATGGAGAAGAGGGAAGGAAAGGGGAACGATGTTACCGATATGCACGGACTGCAGGAGACTGGAAATGGACCAGTCGGGAACACAGCACAGCTCAAGGGGAACAGAAGAGCTCAACCAGAATATGTTAGGTCCGATGTCAGCCCAATAAGACATCATCCATAACAAAGGAAACAAACCAAAACCAAACCAAATCGCAATCCGACTCGAAATATAAGAAAGAAAGTCAAACCGTGGTGGGGTTGCCTCCCCACAAGCGCTTCTTTACCGTCTTTTAGCTGGACGCCCATGGTGGATACTCAGGGAGGTGCAGGAACAGGTGCCTCCAAGAGCGGATCCACATCGCTCTTGAGGTACAGCTTCAGGTGGTGACCGTGCACCCGACGGTTGCAACCACCAGCATCGGTCAGCTCGACCTGGCCATCCGGCAAGATGCAGGCGAGTGAGTACTCGGATGGCCAGGGTGGTCGTGGTGCAGGGGGTGGGACCAGCTCATAGTGGTCTCCACTCTTCTTCCGTGCCGGCTTAGCCACCTGCGGCTTCGGTCGCCACTCCTCATTGAGCTTTTTATTGGGAGGCGAGACTGGATGGAGTGGCGGCGAAGGAATGATAGGCGGGTCCTGCAA